GAAACATCAATAAACATCCAATGGCAGAAAGGCGCGACTCCGTGGCCATAGCTAGTATGAGATCTCATCTAACTCCTTATAGTTTTAAAAAGCATTTGTAAACAAGAGACTCGTAGATCAGACGGCCTCTAGAAAGTACACGGCTAATACCCCGTAAACCCCAACCCCTGATTGTCAATACTCTAGATGTGCACAAATCCAGAGTTTTATTGCTCATCCATTTTGCACTTTACGTGATTTACAAGTTTAAATTTGGTGATGACTCAAATGCAAAACAATACAACCAATCATACATCAATCATTCAAACAATTCAGATTTCCAATTCAATTCTTGATATATTAGTGACAAACAATATATATTATTAAATCCTTTAACTAACTCGGTGTATAAACACCTTAAGTGCATAAGGCACCTCAAATCATCAACCTCGTCTCATAAGACTTTAATTCTCCCTTTATCCATTATATTCCAATTCATAAACATGAACGAGTAATAAGATAATTCATTCCACATATTTATGTACCTTAGCCTCTTAGCTCATCTTGCAAGTTATTGCATAAATAACACTTACAAGAAAAATCAATATGCATTTCTCATACACGAAACAAACCAATCATCACATTAATCATCAATCAAACTCAGTACCAAACAATTTCATCCAATCTACAAGTTTCCTAACATGATTCTAAGTTTTCCAAGTCCTTAAACATGCTTCTAAAGTCAAGGTTTTCGTATCCTTGTACGTACCTTGAGTAAATGAGTTGATTGGCCACTTTAGGAACTAGAAATCACCTTCTACGAAGTCCTCTACTAAACCAAACAACAATAGTCCAATCAATACCCAACCAATTAAATTTACAACAATACTAACTTACTTTAAAACCTTCAAAACTCAATTAAACAACACTTTAAAACCTTCCCTTTTACTAGAATTAAAAGCTTATATATACTTCTTTAAGTTTCCTACATAAAAACCTTAAAATACATACTTATTCATGAAATTACAGCTTGTTTAGAGCTTTATAAAAATTTGAAAATTTATTTTACACATGAAATCTTGAAAATATAGAAATCTTTATCACTACATAAATTATATAGAAAGTTAGTAGACTTTAAACCCAAAAATTTCTCAATTCAATGTAATTAAAGACTCCAAAAACAATAACCAAAAATCTGAAAATTTATTCTTGCAATTAAACTTTAAAGTTTCAAACTTTATAATCATAAAATAACCACAACCTTTGTTTAATGAAATTAAAGACCTGAAACACATGAAATCAATACAATTTAAACCCAAGATTAAAACTTTAATAATCTGAAAATTTATTTTAAATATTAAACCTTCATTAAAAATCAAAAACTGCCCGAAAATCATATTTAGAGGCTGAATTTGGCCACGAGAGTGTGGTACCCACTACCAAACGTGATTAAAACGTTGTTTACACACGAAAAACACTATTTTATTGTAAAAATCGGACGAGTTAGAATCTAAACGTGATAAAAAAAAATTAAGAACGGAGATCAGAAGTTGATTACAGAAAACTGAAAATTTGTTTTTGAATTAAACATCATCATGGTCATAGTAAATTACAATATAATCATGCTTTAATTATATAACTTGTTAAGAAACATAGTTTAAAACCCCAAAACATGAAAACTAACATTCTAATTTTATGAACAAAATTTCTGAAATTTTAAAGTGTATAATAAGATTCATAAAACTCATAATTTAAGATAAATTATCACATGATTAAACCATTAATATCAATTAACAATATCATAAAAATAATTATCAAAACAATGAAGGATTAGGGGAAAAATAAGAAGGAAGGGAGAAGGAAAAAGAGAAGAAGAAGAACAGCACGGGGGTTGCTGGAGGTGTGCTGGGCGGCGCGGCAGCAGGCGGACGCCGGTGGTGGTAGTGCTCGGTGGCTGGTGTAGCAGCAGCGTTTTTTTTTTTTTGTTGATCGTGAAATAGGAGGAACAAGAAGGAAGGCAGTAGAAGCATGCAACACTTAAATGTGAGATTTTTGGAGTGAAAAGGTGGAAAATTTTAGGTGGGTTTAAATAATAAGAAGTGCGGTTTTGAGTTTCCTAGTTCTAATAAAACTAGGATTGTTACTTGGGCTTAAAGTGAGTGGGTTTTAATAAAAGAATAGGCTTAGTAATTAATGAGTTGGGCTTGCATAATAATTCATGATTAAAATATCGGTAGTGAAATAATTTTATTAACTTTATAAACATTAAATTTATTTGCTTAAATCATAGTAAAATAAACTATGTAAATAAATAATCATAATTAAATATTCACATAATATGTTAAAATATAATTTTAAATTTCACAAAATTACGGGGGATTACACTCAAGATGTTGTCTCATTAAAAACCTTACAAGGAAAACCCAATGTGGGACAAAACCGTGGTCAAGGAAAATAGAGTGCAGTGCGTACTTTCTCCTCCTGATGAATACATAACATGAGATCTTCTAGAGCAATAAATCCAATGTGGTCGTATTTCCTCATATGTAGCATAATACCATTCCTTGATCTTCGGTCCTCCTAAATTGAATTTGCTCCTTCAAGTCTTCACGTGAATATGTGAAATGTCTTCAATTCTCCATACTTGCGATTATAATACATGTGTTTATCTCTACATCATGCCAACACATCTGTTTAAAATTGCTTGAAACATTGCCTTCTTCCGGAGGTCATATCAAGTATAGTAAAACTAAGATCAATATTTGATCAAAGATTAATTAATAATGATTTGATGGCAACACGTGATATCATCATATTATCAATGTTGTTGTTCTATCTTATGTGAATTAGTAATTAAATAGTTTAATTATGGTTCTTTCGGGCCATTATAAAACATTCTCATGCATAACTACTTGTTATTATTTAGACGTTTTATAATCTACACGATATTTCTCTTGCGAATACAAATAGTAACTTTCACTAACTCTCACATGCTCAAACTTCAAGTTGAGATGTCAATGATTTAGTCACATAGACTTTTCAGAAGTTTGATAATAATTGTAATATTAAAATATGAATATTTCTCTTGCGAATACAATTAGTAACTTTCACTAACTCTCACATGCTCAAACTTCAAGTTGAGATGTCAATGATTTAGTCACATAGACTTTTCAGAAGTTTGATAATAATTGTAATATTAAAATATAAAATTTGTAGGGCTGGATATTTAAATATGTCATATATAAGTTCTTTGGGAACTTTTCTTACATGTTATTAGATCGACGTCATATATAATTGTATCACAATTATAAGCCCAGCCACTGGAATATAAATATCTCTTTCTAATTTTCCATCAAAGTTGTAAATTCGTCTTACTATACTATCTTGACAAAAATTCAAATATAACACAATTATTGCATAGAAACTAGTGCATGCAATATGAGATATAAAAATCATGATAAGATGTTAAGAAAAATATACAATGAGTAATGCAACTAACAACTTCCTACGCATGCAATAAGTAATCCATTAACCTATAGCTCACACATGCACATGAACATAAGACTCAAAGTAATGCAAGACACTATACAATGTGGATTTAAAAATCCATATTCCATGGACTTCTGGTCCATGATAAACTTTTGATGATTATCATTATGTCGACATCAAAATAGACATATATTTTAGATCCCTTATTCACTAGTCCATTCTATCATGCATATGCGTATTATTTATCGGTTCCATCATATACTGGTATCATCATATAATTCCTCAAGATACAATTTTAATTTGCATGCTATTTTGACAATGATATCTGAATATATTTCTCATTGGTACCATCATAAATTTTCTTACATCATAGGCCATCTATTGTAATAATTCAGATATCTATACCACTTTTGGGGTATTTCATACACTATGGTATTTATATACTATTACACTATTAAAAATGTTAACTGCACTATCTTGCCATATATCATATCTTTATTTTGGACATATCTTTGTTTTGGAACCGATCATACAACTTACACTTCAGGTGTAGTGATTCAAGTATAATTGGCAAGATTTTATCTTAATATATACACATAATATGACCAAAATGTATCTTCAACGCTATGCGACATGAGTCATAACTGAATACAAATCAAATCATAGATGTGCAACATATATTGATAATATATTGACAAAAGTTGGCATATAACTTTTCAAACTACCTTTATGGGGATCATCAATTTTATTTTATTTATTTATTTTTTTTTTGATTTTTTTCCAACTTTTGCTAATTCTTCTTCCCCTAAGTTGGTAAAATATCACATTTATAGGGGCGTCTAATTCTATACCAACTTAGCGTTAAAATTCATTTCATTCGGAGGATCACAATCAAAATTTAACTCTTATAAGATTTGTATTAAACAAGTTTTATCTCTTTTGGAGAATAATTCAATGAAGAATCATTTCTTTATTAACTTTACATTGCATGTGTATTTATTATTACATTTTCCATAATATGTTCTCTTCTAGAGATCAATGTCAATGGGGAGACATGTGTGGTGCAGTTGTACGTCACTACAACAAAATAAAGCAAAGGTAACAGTGAAAAATCATTTGCCTATTAATAAAAAAGTGTTGCCTTGTAGCTAAGGCAACACATATGAAGTGTAGTTTATGCCCCCGTTGTCAATTTATAAGGCAACACATTTTAGTTCAAAGGCAACAGTTTTTAAAGTCAAGGTATAACGATACCTAAGGCAACACTTTTACAAAGGCAACAACTGAAAATTGTTACCACCTTAGGAGAATTAAAAATTATAACCTTATGTCATAATATGTAACAACCTTTTCACTTGTTTTATATGCTAGTAATAATGCAAAAGTGTTGCCAAATAGCTTAAGGGCAACAGCTTAGAATTATTACTTATTCAGTACGAATCAAACAAACTAAAATGAATTGACTACTTTTTTTTTTTTAATATAATTATTGCAAGTAATAAGATGCCTTTCAAAAATTTAATGATATACATACACTAGTATATGCAAATAAAATATTAAAATTTAATTTATTAAATGACTGTAATGTTTACATCACAACAGTAATATAATTAGTAGCATGTGTACCAAAAAAAAAAAGTTAATACACATTAGAATAGCAACAAGGTAACAAGCAACTAGCAACTGAGCATAGCAGCAACAGAAACAACGAGCGGCAACACCAGTAATGACGAGCACCAACAGCAACCAGCAGCTGCATCAACAAAGAACTTGTGCACATAAGGTAAGGGAATATCAATTTAAGAAACTCTGTTGCTTTGTAGATAGAACATAACCAATGGATGAAAGAGTATACCAAGAAGACTTAGAAGCCAATTGTTATGCGGTTGTGTATTTATGCAGCCAAATACTCAACTTATTTATGCTGCTCAACTACGTACCAAAGCTAGTCTTGAGGAGCCCAAATAAGATTGACTTTAGGCTATCAGCTTCAGCTCGCCAAAAAGTTTCTAATAGGTTCTTGAATCTAGCTGTTCCAAAAGTGGTACCTATTAACAATGGAAACAAGTTAACGCAACTCATGGAGGGATATCAACAGTAATTTTTAGTCAATAACACACAGCTTGGATTGCAACAAGAGCAAGAGCTTTAGGTTTTGAGATGGTTTGATCTATTTTACTCATTAAACCAACAGTTCTCGTTCCTACAAGAAAATAATGATAATAATAAAAAATGAGAACCATATAACAAGCATGTACCAACACAAAAGGCAAGTGTATAATGGAATAAGTCTTAATTTTCTCAACCCTAAGCTATGTAAATAATTTTTTTCCCATAAGCAAATTTCAACCAATGGGAACTAAATTTAATAAAATTAGACGGTATAACATTATTTAATTAATTATCAGCAAAAAAGTCTCTCAACAACTTTTAATTAAACCACGACAGAAAAAATGAACCAAAATGAACATCTACCAATCAACTCCCACGTACACACTATTTTACCTCAATCACATAATCAAAGAAAAAGAGCCAAGGTAATCAAAGGACTAGGCTTTCACTCTAGTTAAAGTTATAACATCAACTTTTGGAACTTAAGTTGCACCTCCAATTGTAATCAAATCTGAAAAAATTTAAAAGGAAATAAGGGAAGGCAAAGGGATATCAACATCATCAACTTGTTTGGACAGGAAGAATAATATCAACAACTTTGTTTAGAACTAGGAGTTGACCTGCCACCTTCAACTTAAGAATAAAGTTGAGATTTGTCATTGATTTCTATATGGGACTCATCAACAACTCAAACAACACTTGTTCAGGTAATCGATTAAAATGTCATCTACATTATATTCTTCAGATAATGTAGCTCCAATTTGATCATCCCCCTATTGCTATCATTTGAATCTCCCATTTCTCGCTAACTTAGCAACAAGAAAAAAAATGGAAAAAAAAAAGAGCAACTAAAGCAATAATCATCTTGGAACTGCAATAGTAAACTAATAAATGAAATTTTTAATTTTTTTTTTCCCTTTTTTTTTTTTTTTTTTTTTTTTGTATACATTGCATAATGCCTTTGATTTTTAGCACAAGCCAGGAAGAGGCCCAAGGTAATTGTCAACACAAGAATTAAAAATAAACTTATGTATCAAAGTTATTGTCAACACAAGAACTAAAAATAAACTTAAGTATCAAAGTAATTGTCAAGTGTCAACACAATAACTAAAAAAAAACTAATGTATCAAAGCAAACGACAACCCATAAGTATTTCACATAACATAAAGCTTGAATTAACCCCACTTTAACAATTCTTCTAGGATTCTTGTTGGACCAACATCGAATTTACCCAATCATAAACCATGAAAAATCAGACAAGTGAGACTTTTAATAGCTAAACCAATACTAGCAAAAATTTCAATACGTACCACAAAGAGGTCTTATGGTACACATTTTATACTAATCAAACGACATGTAATACCTCCATAGTTATAATAATTAACCTACAAAGGCTATACAGTTATCAGAATTAGACACAACCAGAAAAGTCGAATTCCTTGTCGAGTGTCGACCACTCCATAGTACAATTTAATAATATAAAGCCGAAGTCTATTTATATTGAATAAATATAAACCTTGGATTTATATTATCAAAGAGCTTCACTTGTCCCTAAATGCATATATTGATGACATTTCCACGAATACAAGTATACAACGATAATAAAAATTTATTATAGGCTTATTATATATAGTATCTTACTTGTAAAATAAACTAACACTTTACATGCATGGATCCTCCACTAAACAACACGCTTAATTTCAATTAGCTATAACAAATTCAGACCCTACAATACATAACCCTCCATTTACAATGAGTTTCATGATTTCTATATCAATTCAACCAACAAAATGACATAATGCTCCTCATTGGTTCAAAATGTTACCAAACTAATTGAAATCCAAACATTTTTCAATAAATCTAACAACTAATTCGACTAATCACTTCAAAAAACTAAATTTAAAACTAATTCAACCATACATAAGCTATATAATCAATTAATCTAACGACTAGATAATATAAACTAAATATTGAAAAAAGTAGAATGAATATGGATGAAACATTGGAAATTTGAAAATTAAAAAACTGACTTTATTGTGAAAGGCGTGAAACTGACAAACTGAGATATGGTTTGAGCCTTTTTTTCCCAATTTCCCCCAAATACCTCCTGATATCAACCCTAATTTCCCAATTTCATTTCAAATCATCGAATTTCACTTCGATTCTTCATCATTTTTAATGTTCAATTCATAATATTCTGTTGGTTGTAATTACTTTTTCTGATGTGGAGAGAGGGACGAAGAGGATTATATTTGGTCGGCGGCAAATGTCGGTGAGAGGTCATTTGAAGATTAAAGATACAAACTAGGTAAAAATCATTGAAACCCTAACCTTGCTCAATTGTTGAAATGGAAGAGATAAAGAAGGAGTTGACTTACTTAAGTGGAATTCTACAGCGATGGAGAAGGGAAGTCGCCGATCTTCAATGGAGGCAGCATGGGCGCGGAGTCAGTGGCGATGGAGGGGAAATCAGTGTAGCGGTTATACATGGTAGATGATTAGTGAGAACTGAGAAGTGGGGGAGGGAATTTGGGACTTGGATTTTTTGTAAAATTAACGTGCCTCTAATTATGTTGTTTTAATACGGAGTATAACTATACATTACAAGGACTAATATTTTTATAAAATTAGTGCATTTCTTAAGTCTTTAATTTTTATTTTTTCTACTACGAGTAGTGAGTAGTAACTAGTGATTAGTGATATGTACTCATTCGCATTGCACCAAACAAAACTAAAAATTTAAGCTTAATTTTATAACATAAATTTAATGTATTAGAAGCAAATCATATATAAGGAAAAATTAAAAAAAAATAAAAAATTATCGTGCATCTTATTATGGGTTTTACTTTATTTTATTCTAATTATAGGGGTCGAGATTTTTATAAAACTAATGCATTTCTTTGGTGTCTTTTAAAATATTTCTACTAATAACTACTGATATATTCTTGTATTGTTGGCGTTATTGCACTGGAAAAAAATAAAGCATATTTGTATAAAAAAATTAAGTGTTTATTAGAAGTAGATCATATTTCAAATATATTCGATCTCTAACTTGTATTATATTTAAAATTATACTTTGTATCAATCAGTGCTTATGGTATTTCAAATATCTTCAAGGTTAGAATTAAAGCAAAACGAAGTAACATGGCTAATTCATGATATCTAATTTAATTGTCATGTAAATATATATTTAGTAAAGTTATTGTATGCTATAATTTCCTCCATTTCAATGGCATGAGCAAATCTAGCTATTAGATTTTTTTTGTTGTTGTAGCAAAAATCGTGGCATAAGTGTATGCTTGTCACGAGAAAATTATTACATGTGACACTAGTGTTTATGAATGTTTTGTTATCTTTTCATGCAACAGTTTTTATGAATTTTGCCATAGATGATAGAAAGGCAACACTTTAAGCAATTGTTGTCTTATATAGTCTATAACAACACTTTAATAAATGTTGCAATGCAATCTAGTATTAATGGTTTATTTCAAAGTAACAGATATGAATTGTTGCCTTATACTATCAAAAGTAACAATTTTACTACTGTTGCAATTTTACATGTTGCCTATTCTTATTAATTGTTTTGTGGTGCGTTTTTCCTTCTTTTCCTATTTCTTGTGTGCTGACATATAATAGCCCCAATCAAAAGAATTGTTATACAAGCATATATCACTTGCTTGTAATTCTACTAGGTGGTGATCTTTTGGATCTTTAAAGACTTAAAGAGTGTATTTGGTGAGATTCTGGTCACCTAATAGTTGACAATAATGTATAAGTTATTCTGGTGAATTTCTGGTCACCCATTACTCTTTCGTATATATAAATAAATAAAAACCTATTAACTCTTGAAATTTTCATTAACACAAATTATTATAAATCACAATCCAAATATAGCTCAATCTCAATGTTATGTCTTGCCCTTCAATTTATTTCATATATCTAACATTAAGAGAGCGTCAACATATTATCAAATGAAACTTCAGGTTTCCATAACGGGTAATTATTAAACCCGGATGACCTAATTTAATTATCACATCCAATCGTTTATTTAAATTTAGATTATGGTCAGTTTTCCAACACGAGTGATCACTTTAAATTATGAGACATAATTTATGCATGGTGATAAGTGTCATTTATGTCGCTATTTTTAGGAGTTTTCTAGTTAGTTTTTCATAGTTTTTCTATCTTTTTACTTGGTTTTAATAACGTTTTACTACATTTGTCATGTTTATGTGTGAAATGTCGTTATTGCTCAATTTTGGCTTTTCTTGCATATTTTGGTGGCTTATGACATTAGATTAAACTTTATTGGTTTACTCTTATGTTTAGGAACACTTGGATAAGTTCATTGCTCAAGATTGAAGAAATATAAAGCATAAAAGAACAAGTAATGAAGAAATGTGCACTTGATTTGCAAAGATCATACTTCAAACGCCTATATCTTTTGATCTACAAAACATTTTGGGGCGATTCCAATCGGAGATGAAAGCTTATCTTGAGAGCTTTCCAACGACAGGTCATATGCTCAATTCCGATGTAAAACGTGGGAGATATGCTCATTTGAAGCTGAGCAGTTTGCCCAGTCCGCAGCCAGGAGCGCCCGCTTCTCAAGGCCGCACGCCCGCTCCTCACAGGGTGTGCAATTTTGAAGTTTGGCAGAAGGTTTGGCAGAAAGTTTGGAGCGCCCGCTCTTGAGGGGTGCACGCCCGCTCCTCTACGCGCTGCTCGACTTTTTGCGGAGCTTCCTAGGCAATTTAGTAAGGGCTATAAATAGATTTTTTGCTCATTTTAGAGGAGAGAATTCATATTTTCAGTAGTTTTAGGTTTTTAAAGAGAGAAACTCTCAAATTTTGGAGAGAGAAAGTGAGAGAAACAATGGTTTTCATGGATTTTGGATAATCAAAGGAGGAATTTGATGATTTGAAGATCTCCATTTTATATCAATGAGCATTTCTTACTCTCACTTTGATTATCAATAGAGATCTTCAAATCATCAAATTCCTCCTTTGATTATCCAAAATCCATGAAAACCATTGTTTCTCTCACTTTCTCTCTCCAAAATTTGAGAGTTTCTCTCTCTAAAAACCTAAAACTACTGAAAATATGAATTCTCTCCTCTAAAATGAGCAAAAAATCTATTTATAGCCCTTACTAAATTGCCTAGGAAGCTCCGCAAAAAGTCGAGCAGCGCGTAGAGGAGCGGGCGTGCACCCCTCAAGAGCGGGCGCTCCAAACTTTCTGTCAAACCTTCTGCCAAACTTCAAAATTGCACACCCTGTGAGGAGCGGGCGTGCGGCCTTGAGAAGCGGGCGCTCCTGGCTGCGGACTGGGCAAACTGCTCAGCTTCAAATGAGCATATCTCCCACGTTTTACATCGGAATTGAGCATATGACCTGTCGTTGGAAAGCTCTCAAGATAAGCTTTCATCTCCAGTTAGAATCGCCCCAAAATGTTTTGTAGATCAAAAGATATAGGCGTTTGAAGTATGATCTTTGCAAATCAAGTGCACATTTCTTCATTACTTGTTCTTTTATGCTTTATATTTCTTCAATCTTGAGCAATGAACTTATCCAAGTTTTCCTAAACATAAGAGTAAACCAATAAAGTTTAATCTAATGTCATAAGCCACCAAATATGCAAGAAAAGCCAAAATTGAGCAATAACGACATTTCACACATAAACATGACAAATGTAGTAAAACGTTATTAAAACCAAGTAAAAAGATAGAAAAACTATGAAAAACTAACTAGAAAACTCCTAAAAATAGCGACATAAATGACACTTATCACATGGCCATGAACATAATGTGATATAAGAATAATAATATGTATTTCTTTTTACATCTGACAAGACAATTAACTAATAATTGATCTATAATAACTCATATTCTGCTGGAGCATTGATTATAATCTTGATACATGCTCATGTTATACTCTTCTGGAGTATTTTATATAATCATGATATAAATCAATTTTACTAAACATAATCTCTTCTAGAGATCTATCAGAATGTATCACTCCCTTGAATTTGCCATTGCCAATAGTTGCTCCTTTCCTTTTTTTTTTTCCCCGAAAATTCTTATAATTTGAATCTATTAGGCTACCACGCTTTAGGCGTGCTATAGGTTCATTAGTAACTGATGTTGTCCTTCTGACATCAATTTTATTTGGAGCATTTACAACTAGTATATTTAGTCAATGGCATTTATTCACATCGATCTTCAAGATGGTATAATTCTAGATGTTTAATAATTATGTGGTCGCTTCTATTAAGTAAACTACTAATACTAAAGCTAATGTATGAGCCAAATTGACCATCATTGTATCTTATTATTCATGTGCAAGGATTACATAAAATAATGAAAAAAATACTATCTCCCCCTAATCCTTGCATATGGGTAATCCTTGCATATGGGCGGGGGTATGGAATCAATCCAACAACCTTTAAAATCTCTGCACTTTTTTTAAGCCATTAATTCTTTTGACAATATCATGTATCAAGTAATGTGTTCCCTTTTAGCAAAAGCATGCTTATATAAAATTATACATATTGAACACTTAATCATGTTCCTCTTGCCCAATTACATTCATCTTAAAAACGAAATCTCTTATATATATTTATGGGCATTATAAAAATATTGATTATGTTAAGTTTCTCACAATGTGATGTAATATTTATAAACTCATAAGCATCATTTCTTGGTCAAATAGTTGATATGTACGAGTAATCATGTTTGCAATTCTAACTGAACTTTTCAATGAATTGTAATCATGAAAACATCATGCAAACATGCTTCGTTTCAATCACATGAACTCTTATTCAAAAGGAACTTCAGGTCCATATGCATAAGTATTTCTTGTATAATTTATTTATCATTCCTATAATCCAACTTCATGTATATAGGTATATAATCAAATTTAATCACATATCCATGCATGTGAAGCAAGAGGAATTGCATTAACATAATATAAAAACTATTATTATATTCTTAGTTATTTCTTCTTTGGATCCTGCATATGAGATTACATAATTTATTTATTTATTTTTTTAATAAAATTTAAGGAACTTTAAATCCATATATATATGAAAATTTCATTATTCTTTATTATAACTCTTTTCGATATTACTATATAATAGCACTATTTGGCACTTCACTACACAACTTGACTATTTAACTATGAAACAATCTTCAACCAAGAACGACATTAACATGGTAATCACTTGATTCAATCAAGATAGATCCAAAGTTATATCTGTAACTAACACAAATATATACATATACTCCTGGAAAAATACAATGTTCATTTCTAGTGAAATAGAAAACTGGCATATATGCTTTATATAGACTTTATAAGGAGAACAACCTAGCTAGCTAAAGAATGCTAGGAGATAAGAATGCTAGCTATAGTTGACTGTACAAGACTTATCATATGTAAATAATTATGATGATAATTATTCACGGTTGTTTTACTTCAATAAATTATTCAGCCATATATAGTTTGACTTGTAATTATTGATCCAACAAAAATAATCCAAATAAAAGATTTTTAAACATATATTTACAATTGAACAAAATTTATTGGTCCTAATCTAACGTCATGCTTCTAGTGACTTGCAATTCCTCTTATTATAGACAGCTTGGTTAGTACTAGTATAATACTTTAACTCTTCATTACCAGTAAGATTGAAACAAAAAAAGTAAGATTGAAAACCAAA